GACGGCTAGCGCAGATAGCCCTCGTGTAGCTTTGCGCGAAATTCCAAAACAACAAGGTTGTCCTTTGTCATTGCCTTTGCAACTTTGATTGTGTTTCTAAAAATAAAAGATTGATTTTCACTTTGTTATAAGGTGTTCAGTCTCTTTTTTGTTAAAAATCTGTTAAATTCAGAATTCAAATTTACTGTACAATACATTTCCTAAAATGATTTCCCGTTTTCTTTGGGAACAACATAAAATGTGTGGCTAGTAATACTAAATTTTGCGCCAGCAGCTTAACTTTTTATATGTATTGAGACAGATTTTTGATGAAAAGAAAGTAGGTCTTTTAAATAGGTGTTCGGTTGAGGTATTGTTCATAAAGTTCAAAAGGCAGTTACAATCTATAAAAAAATATTTTTGAGACCAAACCACTTTCTAAATGTTTTTTCTTCTTCTTGTTGAATACAGAAGTGGATAGGTTAAATTATTCATGAGAATGGGTGATGAAATACATTTATGCAGCTTTTTATTTCTGATGGCTTTGTTGAAGTTTCGGACTACGTATTAATTACTGGTCTATTTTTCCGAAAAGACTTTACAAAGAACTCAGAGCGTCATCAATTAAAGTCTATAGGTGTTCAAAATAATAATAAATGTAAACAAGGCATTCAATGTAAAACTTGGGAAAAATATGTTGTGCTAATAGTAAGGTTCAGTGCATGTCTCCGTTTTGTGCGATACAATTGACACGGTGAATAATAGGTATTTTACATGTGCTACTCTGGTTGAAAAAGTAATGGCTTCTCTTTTACGATCTAGGCATGTATTTAATCTTGTTACCCGCATTAGCGGAATTCGTTCTATTAATTATAGAGCGAATTTCGGTGATATAAAAAGATGTTTTTATGAATATTTGGTCAAAAGCGAAGCTTGTAACCCATTTTGGAACACAAACAGGTAATTTACTAATAATACTAGTAATACGCCGACATGGTATATATACTGACCGTATCACGTGTATCGTAATTTTGTAACTTGTATTTGTGAGTGTACGATTTTGTAGTAATAAAATTTTATGTTAATTGTTATAGAGTTAAATGTTTGGTCTAATTTAATCATAACATACTGACGTTAGGATTATCCCTACTCTTTTTATCCTTATTTTTTATTTTAGATTATGTAACTTTAATTAAAGTATATTTAAACTTAAAAGTTAAAGATAAAATTTTGATGTGTTACTTATTACTCAAAATAAATTAATGAACGTTGTGTAAACTGTAATTTACTGTAAAACTGTACTCTATTGTATGATGACCACGTGAAGTAATTGTAACATGTAACCAGCAGCAATTATGCCGACTTTCAAATTTTTAAATTGAAGGTTAGACATTCGCCTACCTCAGAGCCAGAGTTAGCTTAAAACATAAAATTTAAGCAAAACATCGGACAATTACATCTGTGCCCTATAGACATAGTTTTGTCATTTTCACCACAAAATGATAATGCATCAAAAATGTCAATTCTCTTAACAATCATAAACACCTCAGTCAGATTCCCTTTACTTTTCTTTTTGCAAGATGAAACAATTTTTAGAGTACTTAACTTATTCTTATATAACAGTCTTTCCATCCTAGTGGGCCTGCTGTGAATCCTTTTTAACAATTCAGCGTCCTTATGGTAGGGAGCCCAAAACTGAACACAGTACTCCAAATATGGCCTAATCAGGAACCTATACAATGAAATTCTAACATCTTTAAGACTTCTATTCAATACGTCTCTAGATAAAGCCAAAAAATTCTGTTTTCTCTGCCAGTAGCAGTAGAAATTTGCTTGAATTGCTTAAGAGACTGATCAATCAGAATAGAATATCATTTTCTTCTAGTTTAACATAACTCTGTTTATAACAATTATCTGCTTTCTTTCCAGCCACTTTTTTATCCAGTATGCCAATTTACTCTTCCAAACAACAGAGATAGTTTTTTTAAAAAAAACTTTTGTCTGTCACCTTGTTAAAGGCTTTCTGAAAATCCAGATACCTGGAATCCATATCCTTATCTACATATGCAGTAGGCTCTTCAAAGAATGTTAAAAGATTAGTAAGGCAAGATTTTCCCATAGTAAAGCCATGCTTATTATTTTAAACTTTATTAATTGACTTTTCAAAGTATCTTTTTACCAAACTTTCAAAAATCTTTCCCACCATTGGTGTAATACTAATAAGCTTATAATTACTGGGACTATTTTTATCACTTCCCTTGAAAAGAGGAGTAACGCTATCCATCATTTTCTTTAACATGGCTCACCTGTTTTATAATCTAATCATTGTTCTAGAAATTTTGAAAATACTATCATTCATTAACATTTCTAAATATTCTACAACTAATGTGATGCTCCCTCTAGCCAAATTAACTTCCAGATTTTCTTGATCATTAGGAAAGTAAGATTAGGTAAGACTAAATATATTTTATTCTATAGATTTTACTACTTCATACTTTGAGATTTTCTTTAGGGAATAGGTATATAAATTACAGTATCAAAAGCTAAGGTTGAGCAATTGGTGATCGTCAGACTCATTAGTTGATTACATTCCTAATTAATTGATTATTCTCACAAGATACTCAGATAATTGGAATAATCAAAAATAGTTATGATCTAAAATACTAATTTTGATTAGTTTATTATTTTCCTGGTTGATTAAATTGAACAACCTTGAATTCATTGAAAATAATAAAAGATTGTAATAGCAATATTTTGATTACTTGGATAGTTGGAATAACTGATGATAATGATAACTGGAAACACTAATTTCTGTTAGGAGTAAATGAAGTTGTAGGCTATGGTGTTTTTCTATATTATTTAAATATTTTTATAGTCTTGAATTATTTTATTTAGTTTAGTTGAAATTGGAAACTTTTAGGTTTTATTACAGTAGGTACAGCTAAACATAGTAATAACATTCTTCTGGAGAAGATAAGTAATATTTCAATATTTTTCAAGTCCAGAGTTGATATTATTATAGTCTATTTTAGTTAGTTTACTTGGGGTTGGGCAGTTTTGGGTTTTACTGCTACACATACAGCTAAGTATAAAATTATGATGTTATGCTTAATACTAGATTGTTAAGCATTTTGCTTTACTTTAGTTTTTAGGTAACTACTACTGCTTCTATCACTAGTGTTAACTAAGCAAAAAGGGAAATGTGATTAATTTAAGAGATTAAATTACTGTTTCTATTATTATTTGATAACAGCAGAGAACTTATTACATTAGTAAATTGTTTAACTTTGCACTTAGTTGCGTGTAACAAGAAATGTATATCGTAGCTGGTACTGACATTGGTAAGTAATGGTATAAGTATTGATTAATAGAGGATTTGATGTTACACTTATTTGTAATTTAATACTATTTAATCTACAGTTTGGCTTAGTGAGTGTAAAGTGGCTTTAACTATAATTTAAGATTATTCAGTTATTGGTAAGTTATAAAGTAAGCTAAATAAATTATATTATTACAAAAATAATCTAAATATTAGTTATTTGTTACTTTTAAACTTAATTACTTTAGTGAGAAGGTAACATGGTGATAGTATAATATGTTTAACATTATGCTCAACAGTGTTGTCAATATGCTAATTATGTTTAGGGTTGATTATTTCCTGGCTATAATGGTTAAGAGTAGTGTAGATGTTAAGCACTCAGAGTTTATTAGTTGCAGTAGGTGCAAGGAGTAGGTTTTATTTGGGAATTTGAGGCTGATATGCACATCTAAAGAAGCTAGTCGTGATGTTGTATGATTAATATGTAGAGTTTGTAGGTTGGAGGTAAAATTCGAAGCTTTTCTAAATAGGGTAGATTATGGATAAAGATAAGAATAAACTGAGGGAAATGGCAGCAGGATCTAAAGAGGAAATTAAGTTTTGGCATGTGAAGGATACAGTGACTAATGATGACTTTTGGAGAGTTAGAAACAGGACTAATAGGGCTAGTGGTAGTGGATTTGTTTATAATGAGCAGATTCTATTAAATAACAGGTTATACTATTAGCTTGTACAGATGATGAACTTGAGGAAGGAAGAATAACAAAAAATATGACAGATAAGATTGGGAATGAAAAACATAAGGAGGTTTTAGTTAGAGGAGTTTCTTTAGTTTGGCATGTGGATAGGATAATCTGTGTGGTAAATAGGGAGAAAAGAATTAGATTATTCTATCCAGGAGCAAAGGTGGAGGATATAGTCAATAGAACCAGTGATACAAGTATAAGGAAAAAAAATCACTAAATAAAAATAGATGTGTAGGGCTGGCTACTGAACTTGAAAAAAGGAACCAAACAAGATAGGGATGGAAGTGGACATATCACTTGATCTGGGTAATGATCACATAGCAGACTACCTTGACTATATATGGAGAATAAAATCCCCACATTACTGGTTTCCCCACTTTGTCTATTGAAAGCTTTGTGTTTGAATAGAATTTCAGCTTTCATTATTATACCTTTCTTTAACTTAATTTTAGAATACTACTTTTGACTAGTTTACAATAGAGTAACATTTTATGATTGGAAATTCTGGTTCTTTTTGTTTTGATAGTGGGCCCAACCTTCTCCTCTTTGATGTCATTTGATGGAGCTTTCAGTTCTCCAAGCTCTTACTGCTCCCTGTGTTACAGCTCATGAGGTTCTATAGCTTTTGGGGATGTGGTCTTCCATGGCAGCCTTTATCCCCTTAGGTTGTGCTCACAGGTGGGCTTTTTAGTAGGCTCTTCACAGCCAGTGGAATCTTGCACAGGATCCTTTGCAGTCTCTTATTACCCTAGTAGACCATCTGCAATGGTGGTTGGACAAATCTCGCATGTCAGCAGGTGCCCTGCTTCCTCCTCCTCAGCCAGATTTACACATTTTCACAGATGCATCCCTTCAGGGATGGGGGTGTGTGGGTCAATCAACAGGAATCTTTAAGGTATTGGTCTGCAGCTGAGAGGTCTTGTCAAATTAACATCCTGGATTTTCTCGCTGTATGTCGGGTTTTGGTTAATTTTCTCCATCTGGCCAGAAATCGTTTGGTAATTATCCATTCTGACAATTCTACAATAGTTGCTTATCCCAATCATCAGGGTAACACCCATTCTCAATCCCACTGTATTCATACATTGGATCTTCCTTTTTTTTGGGCCCACAGCAAGATATTTGTTTCATGTTCCAGGTGCTTTCAATTTTCGTGCAGATTGGCTTTCCTGTTCATACAAAATCTATATGATGGAGTGGTTTCTTGATCTTTTGTTTTTTTGTGGCTTTGCCTTTAGTGGGTACTCCATGTCATCTTTATATTCATCAACTTTGGGCAGCTTGGGTTGGCTAGCCCTGACTCCATTGTCATTCTTGTGTCTCCTTCTTTCGGTTGGGTGAGTGTTGCTCTCTCAATTTGTGCTCTTATTCTCTCTATTTCTAGTCTCTCCTCTCTCTCTCTCTTTTTATTCTTTCTCAATTTGTATTCTCATTCTTTCTATTTCTAGTTTCTCCTTTCTCTCATTTTCTTCTATCAGTCTTTCTCTTTCTTCCATCTCTGTTTCTAGTTTCTCCTAGAATTGTTAGGCCTATCACTTTTACGGTAGTTAACTTCATACCAACTTTATTCTCTTTTGGTATTATCTGTCTGCCTCTGTCTCCTTTCCCTGCTTGACTCATGCTATTTATATCCTAGAATTGTTAGGCCTATCACTTTTATGGTAGTTAACTTCACACCAACTTTATTCTCTTTTGGTATTATCTGTCTGCCTCTGTCTCCTTTTCCTGCTTGACTCATGCTATTTATATCCTAGAATTGTTAGGCCTATCACTTTTATGGTAGTTAACTTCACACCAACTTTATT